TATGTTGTAAGAAATCAGAGACAAAGCCCATTCACACAAAACACGAGTAAGCATGCAAAGCAAACACCTGCCCGCAGTGGGAAGGATGGAATTCACAGCCGCAGTCACACTAGGAAGAAATTCTGTAAACACGGTGAGGCAGTGAGCTGCAGGCTCTGCTTCATCAAACAAGAAAGCTGCAATAGTGAACCTACCCTGGGAATGGCCATCATGTACAGACAGTGGTGGCCAAAATATTGAAGGAAAGAGATCCACGATCAGAGAGAATCTCTTTGCTTCTACACTGTTCACCCTGAAACTTTGGCCAGAAACCACTGGAGGGGACTCCAGGATCACATTCTGATGGCTGCTATGGATTGGTCCTAGCATGAGCCAGCAACCACAAGGCTTTCAAGGTCAGCCAGATTTGGTCCAAGCTTATCTTTGACATTTACTAGGTGTGTATCTCTGTTACTTTTACTTAACAGTGACCAAACTGTTTAGCATAGATGACCTTAAAGGAGAATAGTCACTTTGACTCACAACTCCAGAGACTTTCATTACATCCAAGCAAAGAAGACATAGCAGAAACTCTCTGACCAAGGTGATGGAAATGAGGCAGAGGCCCTTCACTCTGTTGTAGATGGGGGCAGCAAAAATAATTGGAATCATGGCCGGGCCGTGGAGGCATAGGCCTTTAATTCCAGCACTTGGGAGGCAGAGGCAGGCGGATTTCTGAGTTCAAGGCCAGCCTGGTCTACAGAGTGAGTTCCAGGACAGCCAGGGCTACACAAAAAAACCCTGTCTCAGAAAAAAAAAGAAAGAAAGAAAGAAAGAAAGAAAGAAAGAAAGAAAGAAAGAAAGAAAGAAGAAGAAAAAGAATTGAAATCAGGGTGGGTGGGTGGGGGAGCACCCTCATAGAGGCAGGGGGAGAGGGGATAGGATGGGAGTTTCCGAAGGGGAAACCTGGAAAGGGGAAAACATTTGAAATGTAAATAAAGAAAATATCTAATAAAAAAAAAAAGAATTGGAATTAGGGGCTGAGTGTAACCTTCAAAAGCTCAGCCGTAGTGCCTGCCCTACTTCCACCAACCAGGTCCTAGCTCTTAAAAAGTCTGTCCCATCCCAAAATAGTGCCACCCGCTGGAGAACAAGCACGTGAGTCTCCAGGTGACAGTTCAGACTCGAGCCATAACATCCCACACCTGGCCATCTCGTAATGCAAAATAAATTTAGTGCATCTTCAAGAATTCCTAAGGTAGCGAGAAAATATTAGATTGAGGTGAGAATGAAGCCAGTGGAGAAAAGGTTAAATCCTGTAGCTCCCTGTCCAGCATTCCAGGCATGTAGTAGCACCACGTGAACTCAGCAGGCTCTGGTGTACCCACCCCTATGGCCTTCTCATTTGTACTACGCATGGATTCTCTCTTGGGATGGCTCCACGAGGTGCCTGAGATTTTTCTCAGCAGACGGCACACACTTCCGGCACACCCATCTGGAGATCTCTTACTCTTTACCTTCAAGCTTCATACACTGGCCGCTCAAGGAGTCACAGCAGGATTCTGAGCTTGATGCCTATGCCTGGCCTCCAGCGCTTAAACAACAGGGCGCAAGCTTCCCTCATCACAAAATTCTCATTCTATGTACCTACAAAGCCAACACTATGCAGACACATCAGCTTCCACTGCTAGGTCCAGTAGTACCCAGGCTCCTTGGACCTCAGCTGAGTTCTTACAAAGCATAACCTGGGAAGAAACTTCCTTAGGTGGAAGTTTTTCAGATCTGGAAAGATGGCTCAGCAGTTAAAAAAAAAAAAATGTTTCCCACTATCACAGAGGACCCAAGTTCAATCCCCAGCACCTATATCAGGGGATTCACGACCACCTATAAACTCCAGCTTCAGGGAAATATGAGACCTTTATTCTCTATCCTCTGAGTGTGACACATACATACACAAGAAAAAAATAAAATTTTAAAAAGAAAGTCTTTCTAATGGTTTTTCCATTGTATTCCCTGGATCTACCTGTTAGCATTTCTTCTAGGCTTCTCCCGTTACCTAGCAACAGCCAAGTAAGAGACTGGCTCCCATGTAAAAAGAAACACTTGCTAGCTTACTATCTCTTGCTCTCTATCTTCTCTCTCCATTTTCTATCTATCTATCTATCTATCTATCTATCTATCTATCTATCCATCTACTCTTCCCCTCTCTCTCCCCCATGTGCCCATAGCCCTTCCCTTCTCTCTCTCTCTTCCTCTCTTCTCTCTCTTTTTTGTCCTTCTCTGTCCCCCTCCCTTCTCTGCCTCTACCTCCTCCTCCAGGTCCCAAATAAACTCTCTTTTATATAAAGCTTATTGTTTGGCTGATTTATCAGAAGGAACGCTTCAGCGTGGGCCGGCCCTGGTGCTGCCTTCTGTGGCAGCACTGCCGCCATTTTATAAACATAACACTATCTTTGATGTATAGAGTCTCACCCTCAAGACACCTTTTCCACTACACAGAGAATAGTTTTTCTTCTGTGGTATTGATCTCTTTAACAGTTATAGCCACTTTGTGTGCAGCTGATTCGTCTGCTACTTTAAACAATCCACGCTCCTTTCCTAGCCTTATGGGATTCCTATCTTTCTGCCAGTCTTTATGCTCCTGATTCTGTCTCTAAAGTTCTTCTACCGATATGCTAGTCCATTACTTTTCAATCCACTCTTGCTCAAAATTTCAGGACTGGAACAGAACATGGCCAAATTCTTTGCTTGATTGAACGTAGCCCATTTCCCAGTAGAATCCTTATTACTATCAGAAACCTCATGATCTGACTTTGCATATTGGTTGGCAGTTAGTCTTTCAAACTTAAATAGCCCATTAAATAGCATTTACAATATTGTAACATTTCCCTCATCTCAATTTCCTAATTCCTCTCCATTCTCCCCACGAACTAGTTCCAAAGGCCTCCATACCACAAGACTAGATTTGGTCACAGAAATTATCCTACTCTGGTACCAATTTTCTATACTAGTTACTGTCATGTCTCTGTGACCAAAATACCTGACATAGTCAACTTCTGAGTTAAAATGTCTAGTCTGAAAAAAAAAAGTCTAGTCTGGTTCATAATATCAGAGAGATTCAGTCCCTCATAGTGGGGAGGGCAAGGCAAGCAGCTCTATTCCTGCTAGCAGGAGTGTGGGGCACAGGCTGGTCCCATCATGGCAGACCAGACCAGGAATCAAAGACAGACTAGCCAGAATCAGAGGTCAGGTGTAACCTTTAAAACAAGGTAGACACCCATTACCATTAACCAGCTTCCACTTCCTGGAAGTTCTGCAGCATTCACAGATAGTGAGTACCGCCAGCTATTGGTGATGACAAGTGTTCAGCATAGATTCATCTGTTGGTGACATTTCAGATCCAAACCATACACCTTTGTCTTCCGTGGATCTAATAATTTCTCTAAGCTTCATTCCTAAATTATCCATTCATTTATTTTATTTTATATGAGTAAGTGCTTTGCCTTTGTATATATATATAGGCACTGCATGTGTGCTTGGTACCTGTGGAGATCTGAAGAAGGTTTTGGATGCTTAGAACTGGCATTACGGATGGTAATGAACTACCAAGTGGGTGTTGGAAACTGAACCCAGATGCTCTGCAAGAACAATCAAGTGCTCTCTTACTACTAAGCCATCTCGCCAGGCCCTGAGCCTCATTAAAATAAATAAGTACAAAATAATAAATACCTCATTTAAGATGTGATTAATATTAGTACTCACTTCCTGGGTGTCATGAGTGTTAATGAGAAAACAAACACAAAGACATTGTAAGAAAGCAATGAATGTATTGGCTTTTAATTTGGTTCATCCATTTCCCAGAATCCACAGCTCATTGTGCCCCAGAGCCATCAGTTGGAGTCTGGGGTATAAAGTGGAATTTGCCTGCAACTGTTCAACGGACGGCTCTGAGATTATGGAAACTCCCTACGGTTTAGCAGCTCCTGGAGTGGTTACAGAAAATGAACCATAGAGCGAGGTGAAACTTTTCTAAGGTCCCCTGGAAGATATGAATGCTCTCCTCTCCTTGAGGATCAGATCTCTGGCTACAAACAAATTTTCCTGAAAGTGGCAAAGGCAGGAAGAGTCAGGCCTACAGTTAGATAATCACAGAATTTCACAAGCTACAGCGCTTCACCAGGGAGAACAGCCTGGTTTTGCAGAGGATGTAGGACTGTTAGATCCAAAATAAAATACAGACTGCTCAGTCAGATTTGAATTTTAAATACAAAACAAATGGCGAAAAGTTTTATCACAAGCCTATTACAAGATTGCATGGGATTTACTTAAAACTCAAGTCTCACAGAGCTCCTCCTTGCCAGGGTTTTCCATAATAGGCCTATTGTGACAACACAGCCACAAATACATGTACCTCAGGATTGGTTTGTTGTTTTGAGGGCTGGTTTGGGGTTGTTATTGTTCTGTTTCAGTTGTTGGTTTTTGCGGTTGTTTTGGTTTGTTGTGCTACTAGGGGTTAAAACCGGGGCTCAGCTGGTAGCCTCAGATTCCCTGTTCTCAAACTGGAAGCAGTGATTATGTGTAGGGATGGGGAAGATCCCGCAGCTATTAGGTTTTTAGGAGACTCAGGTCCCTGGCATATCTCCAAATGAGGGCAATGTTAGGCCAGACATTTAACTACCTCTAAGTCTTGGTTTCTTAACTATCACGTGGCCTATTCCCAAAGGCTTGCTTTACCTATTAATCTTAAAAAGCTCATCCCTTGTCAAACTCTGGGCCCGTTTTGTGTTTCTTCTGCCTTTATCTTGATCCAAGAAACGCTAAGATCGCTAAGAACTACCCCACTCCAGGGGGGACTCCAGGCTAACCTCGTACACTGGCCCACAGTTCCAGACTCGGTCTGATCCATCCCATCCTGATTTACAGGAACTCACACTAGCAATCAATCATCCTTAATTTTTAACTGGGCTGTGTCCTGCAGCAGCCAATAGCTGAGACTGCCCCCCACACCCCACCCTCACTGACCCTCTGCGGCTGTCCTCTCAGTCTGCCCTGAAGCTGCTTAGTGACCAAGAACTTGGACCAGGTTTGGTAATGGGGCCTTTGGGAAGAACACACGTTAAAGAGGGCTTGGCAGAGAGCTCTCCAGCCTCCTTCTCCCCTACTGTCCAGTTTGTTACTTCTGCAGTTTCCATAGGCTTGCTTCTACTTGAGCCTTCTGCCTCTTCTTCCTCCTCCCCTCCCTCAAAGTTGTGCTGCCCAGCTTGCCCTGGCCCTCCTCCTGCTGCCTCTGGCTTATTGTTTAGTTAAGCGGACCAGGGAGATTGAACAGATGGGCAGAGACCTGGGCCTGAAGGGAGAGAAGGGCCAGCCGGTGCCGGGAAAGGGAAGCGGTTTGGGGAAAACAAAACAGAGGGCGGAGCCAGGGAGAAGGTTGCCCCAGAGGGAGGAGGAGAGAACACACCAAGGAAGGGTCGAGGCCTAGAATGGAATGGGGGCGGGACCGGGGATGGGGTGGACCCCCTGAGCTTCTAGGCTCCGCGCCTGGCTCTGAAGCTAACTGGCTTCGTAGGACGCAGCTGACATCGCTGCCCAGATGGCCTCCAGGCTGACCCCACTGACCCTCCTGCTGCTGCTGCTGCTGGGTGGGGTAAGTGGTCCCTCTATGAGGAGGTGGGGTGGGGGTAGGAGTGAGAATTAACCCTTCAGGCCTTGACGTAGGAGGGAAGCCTCTCCTGGGAATCTTAAGTTCGAGCCTTGAACTAGCGTTAGACCAGGGACTGGAGGGACTGGGTTGGATATTGGAAAGTACCTTAGCTGAATGACCTTGGGCAGGACCTTTTTCAGGCTTCCTTAACCCAATATCTACATATTTACAAGAAGCTGTTTTCTTGTAAGTATTTACTTGTTTTGACTCACGTGCTAGGCTAGTGCATTTGCGAGCCTTATTTCAGGACTGTGAATTTTTTCCAAGAGTGGATGCAGTGGAGCAGTGGGAACTGAAAACAATTTAGTATTCCGAAAGGGAAGGAAGAGATGGTGGGGACTAGGTACAGTAGTCTAGTAGGACAGGGATAACAAGTAAACTCATGAAAACAGCTTCCGGTGGATGATCAGTGGAATATGCTGGAAGCTGGCATCTTGGGTGACACTGAGGAGTTAGCACATAATGTCTGGTTAAGCAAGGGATCTGGATTTTCCACAGAAGGAGAATACATAGGCTCTACTCAGCCCATCAGCCGGGCTTAGATGGGTTCATAGAAGACAAGATGAAGAACAAGCCCGAAGTTGTAAAAAACAGACACCCTCCACCCCGACCCGCCATGCTGTTGTGACAGGCTCTTCTAAGCTAGGGACTGTGGAAATACGGTTGCAAGGAAGAAGGCTAGCAGATGGACCCAGACCCACACCAAGGTTATCAACAGTGTGGTCCCAGTAGTCTAGTAGGACAGGGATAACAAGTAAACTCATGAAAACAGCTTCCGGTGGATGATCAGTGGAATATGCTGGAAGCTGGCATCTTGGGTGACACTGAGGAGTTAGCACATAATCTCTGATTAAGCAAGGGATCTGGATTTTCCACAGTTTCCTTTCCAATTCTGAATACACTGCTACATAAGAAGATCCTCCTCTCCCCAAATGCCCAGAAGACTGTGGTTACAGGTTGGGCCACTGTGCCTAGTCCCCACCATCTCTTCCTTCCCTTTCGGAATACTAAATTGTTTTCAGTTCCCACTGCTCCACTGCATCCACTCTTGGAAAACATTCACAGTCCTGAAATAAGGCTCGCAAATGCACTAGCCTAGCACGTGAGTCAAAACAAGTAAATACTTACAAGAAAACAGCTTCTTCCCTGGCAGTCACTGAACACAGATAACTGATAACCAAAATCAGAATTGCCTCATGTCTCCTGCAGAGAATTCCCCCCAGCATTGCCTGTTTCTGAAGGAACTGTGGGAGTGGTCCAAGGTTTCACCTGCCAGGTTGTACCAGAAGCAACTGGTACCATATGTCCCCAGTCTTCTCTTCTTGCTTGGAATGGTTGAGGGAGCTATGGCTCACCAGGAAATGAAACACTGTTTCTTGAACCACAGGATAGAGCCTTCTCAGATTCCGAAGCCACCAGCCACAGCAACCAGGATCCACTGGTGGCTCAAGAGAAAAGCAGAGACAGCTTCCCTGAAAGAGATGGCTTCTGGAGTCCCAATGAGCCCACAATACAGTCAACAACCAGTGTATCCACCAAAATAACAAATGACACCGCCATGGATAAAGTAGCCAACAAGTCCCTCATCCAGCCAACTGCTCAACTACCCATGGATTCTCCCATCCAGTCCCCTCTGAACTCTTCCAGCCAGTCCCTTCTGAACTCTTCCAGCCAGCCCTCCACAACCTCAGATCCTCCCACCCAGGCTCCTACTGAACCCTTCTGCCCAGAGCCACTTGCTTGGTGCTCTGATTCAGACAGAGACTCCTCAGAGGCTCTGCTCTCGGAGGCTTTGACAGATTTCTCTGTGAAGCTCTACCACGCCATCTCAGCTAGCAAGAGTGCTGAGACCAACATGGCCTTTTCCCCATTCAGCATTGCCAGCCTCCTCACACAGGTTCTTCTTGGTAAGACTCTGACTTCTGTCTAGGCTGTAAGCCGGACCCTTTTATAGGGATCACCAACCACAGACCCACTGGGAAGCTGTGTCTCTGGAAAGAAGCTGTAAAATGGGCTACATGATAGGGGTGGTAGGCTTTCATTCTTGAACATTGTTTCATTTAACAATGATTTAATTAGGTACTATTACTTATATTTTTGGTTGTGAGCCCCGCCTTTAATGGCTGAGCCATCTCTCCAACCTGTACAATTACTTATAAACTAAACCCCTACAGACTCACTAATAACATATAAAATAAGGTCCCAGTCACCAGTCATGGTTCAAAGCAATGGAAGGTGATAAGAGAGGTGAAACCACCAGAGATAGACCTAAGATAGAATCGTGGTGATGCACTTTCTAGCTATGCAACCATGGACAGTTCACTTAACCTCTCTTGACTCTGGCTTATTACCTGTTAAGTAGGGAGGTAAAACGCCTTCTGCCTTCAGGAGAGTGATTCAGCTGGGAAAAGGCAATAACAAAATTACCACAGGCAGTGGAGAGATGATGGGGGAGGCGGAGGGGAAGGTGTGACACTCCTCATTCGACAGCAAAGAAAATTCCAGAACGGCTTTTAGAAACTACACATACAAGATTCCTTCTTTTGACATCCCCAAGTCCTAATGTCCCACCGTAGTAGCACCCAACTCTCCAGACTGTCCTCCTCAGACATTCTCAAAGTCTCTTGGGAGGTCCTTTCTATTCAGTTGGTTTCAATACATAAATTTTAGTTCAAATCCTGCATTCATCTTTCATTTATTAGCTCTGTGGCTTTAGATACATTAATAACATAATCCCTGAAACTTTAGGGTCCTCCTCTATATAACAGGCACGTGAGTATCCTATGTAAAAGGCTTGGTGACAGTTTAATAAGGTAGCATAGGAGAGGTATTAGAATACCTGGAAGAGAAGAACTGCTCTTGACAAATTTTAGTTGTTATAGCAGAGAAGACGTGTGCAATAAGTGCTTAATAATGAATAGCGTCCATCCTTTTTTATAATAGTGATCAGATGCTTCTGCTTGTAGGATGACCCTTTGTAAATCCGAACCATCTAAATCAAAGTTAACGTGGAAGTAGCTAGAAAGATGGGTGGGATTCACAAAGGTAGAAAACCAGGGAAGGAGAATATTTGAAGCCCTGGAAAAGTCTGGTGGGACCACTCAAGACTGCCCACTACCTTCTTCCAGGCACATGAACTGTCTTCCAGAATATAGTTCTGATGCTCTGAGACCCCCCAACATAGCAAAAACCACCCTGCATTCTAGCCAGTCCTCAGCCCCAGTCTCACATAGTAGTTCTCCCATTCCTCCCCCAAGTAACCTCATCTCTCTCTGTCCTCTGTTGCAGGGGCTGGAGACAGCACAAAGAGCAACTTGGAGAAAATCCTTTCCTACCCCGAGGATTTTGCCTGTGTCCACCAGGCTTTAAAGGACTTTTCATCCAAAGGTGTCACTTCTGTGTCTCAGATTTTCCACAGCCCAGGTGAGTGTCCAGGGCAGATAGTGTGGATGATTTTGGAAAAGAAAACCGGGAAACAACATGAGAACCTTACTGGGGATGACTACAAGCAGATGAGGGCCTCAGCAGGAGTTTCATTCAGGTGGATCCAGGAGCTGGACTGTTCTTCCCATAAGATCTGGGTAAATCATTTGCATTCTTTAGCACAAGAAATCCCTATGTATCCATTAACAGCAGGGCTAGAGGTTAAAGGTTCTGGGTTTTTAGGCTGTGTGAAGCACAAGCAAAGCCTAGGGTTTTGATCTGTTTTGATCAAATTTGTCTCTGATCAAATATATTGATCTATTTAGTTCAGCAAAGCAGTCTACTATTTCAAGAACTCACATTTCCTCCAGTAGACTTGGGCTGTGAGAGCAAAGGTTAGGAAGTCTGGTCATGAACTTTCACTGAGGCCTGGAAGTAGGGTTTATTCCTGCTGAATAAGGAAAGAAAGAGGGGAAAGTTAACTGTAAGCTGTACCATAGAAGGTGGTCTAGCCAAACGCCGGTCTGCAGCAGCAGGACTGTGGAGGAGTGGCTCTGTGGCTCTCAGTTCCCAGTTTGTTTTCTTGAGCCAATTTGTGCATCTATAATAGAGGAGCAGGCTGGACCATGCTCCAGTATTTTGTCATCATTGGAGCGAGCAAGAAGAACCATGGAAACCTGGACAAATATGATGGTCTTTAATCCCTGCACTCTGAAGGCAGATCTCTGTGAGTTCAGGGCCAGTCTGGTCTATGTGAGTTCTAGGCTAGCCAGAGCTACATAGTGTACCCATTTCAGAACAAAATAATAATAAGGAAGTAGCAAAACCAGAACCTATGGGAAGTGTGTTCGCTCTCATTCTTGCCCTTTGAAGGAGGGTAGGACTGCTCGGAGGACTCACACTTTCCCTGCCATGTCCTGCCCCTCAGATCTGGCCATAAGGGATGCCTATGTGAATGCCTCTCAGAGCCTGTATGGAAGCAGCCCCAGAGTCTTGGGCCCAGACAGCGATGCTAACTTAGAACTCATCAACACCTGGGTGGCCGAGAACACCAACCACAAGATCAGTAAACTGCTAGACAGCCTGCCCTCCGACACTCGCCTCGTCCTTCTCAATGCTGTCTACTTGAGTGGTAAGGGAAACACCAGGCAGGTAGTGTGCATAACGCGGTTCTGCCTCCCCTCCTGTCTTCACATGCCACCAGGCTCAGAGTTCCACAGCCACATTCCCATGTGACTGACGGTCCTACCCTTCCCTAACAGGCCCTTCAACATCCATCTGTCCCTACCTACATTACAGCCGCCCTTTCTTCCTTTAGCCAAGTGGAAGAAAAAATTTGAGCAAAAAAAAATGATGGCACCTTTTCTCTACAAGAACTCTTTGATTAAAGTGCCCATGATGAATAGCAAAAAGTACCCTGTGGCCCATTTCAGTGACCAGACTTTGAAGGCCAAGGTAAGTTTTGGGCTCATTGTGGTCCTGCTTCAAACCTGAGTGTCCTGGCTTCCTTTCTGTAGTGACTTCCTTCCTCCTGGTCATTATGAGATGCCTGATTGCAAATTCCCCATTTCTGCTTCTTCTGTCCGCTAGCCCTGCCCTCTTTTCTCCTTCTCCTCTCTCTAGTTTTGGCCAAGGCAGGGAATTTTAGGCTGGAAGACATGAGCCTAGACATGATTCTAAAGCTTCTTCATTCATCTCTACTGCATCAAATGGCAAACAGTGAGTCGTGTTTTAATTCTGTGTATCTCTCTCTCTCTTAGCAGCCAGCACGCTGGGTAGACTGATAGCTTGCCAAGTCCTCTGTGTGTATATACTTGTTGTACAATATTCGTATGCACTTGTAGGTGTATAACTGGATATGTGCAGATATGTATTTTATATATATATATATATATATATATATGTATTAATTTTTTGGTTGTGTTTTGGGTTTTGTTTATTGTTTTTTTTTTTCCAAGATAGGTTTTTTTCAGTATAGCTCTGGCTGTTTTGGAACTCATTCTGTAGACCAGAATGGCCTCAAATTTGGAGGTCTGTCTGCTTCTGCCTCTTGAGTGCTGGGCTTAAAGATGTGTACCACCAGACCAGGCTGAATTAAGTTCCTTATCAGAAATTGAGCAGTATAATTCTAGTGGGGAGAAAGAGAGAAAAGACAGAATATGGAGCCCAAGCTGCGTTTGGCAGTGCATGCCTTTAATCCAGCACTTGGGAGGAGAGGCAAATGGTTTTCTGTCAGTTCATGGTCAACCTACTCTATATATCAAGTTCCAGAACAGCCAGAGCTATATAATAGAGAGTTCCTGTCTAAAAGAGGAGAAGGAGGAAGAGGAGGGGGAAGAGGAAGAGGAAGAAGAGGAAGAAGAAGAAGAGGAAGAAGAAGAAGAGGAGAAGGAGAAGTAGCCCAAAAGATTTTAGTTAGTAAATTCTCCAATGCCCAGTACCTAAGTATTTCTGCCTTGCTAGAACTGCAAGACTCAGATCTCTAGGATAGGAAGCAATGTCTCAACACTGAACATAAGGAAAACACAGCTTCTAGCATAGCTATCCTGGTTTCCACCTTGGGAGATTTCTAGGTCCCTTTACACTCAGGTGTATGTCTATCAGTGTCTCAGAGGGAAGGATTTTGAGCCAGCTTCCAATATCCATGGGTGGTGCATCCATGATTTTAAAGAACTATCAATAGAAAACATTTGGAGAAAAAACTATACTGAACACACCCAAACTTTTTTCTTGTCATTATTCCCTAAACAATACAGTATACAACTATTTACATGGCAGATTTGTTTTTGGTGTTAAAACTAATCTAGGAATAATTGGAAATATAAAGGAAACAGGGCTTAAATAAACTACATCTCAAGCTCATTTGGTAGACTGCTTGCCAGGCCTACACAAAGCTGTGGGTTTGATCCTTGGCTCCTCATGAAACTGGGTATGGTGGTGTATACCAGTAATTCTGGCACATAGGAGGTTAAAACAGGAGGATCCTAAGTTCAGGGTCAGGTGAGGAGTGGTGGTGCAAGCCTTTAATAGCAGAACCGGGGAGGCAGAGGCAGGCGGATCTCTGAGTTCCAGGCCAGCCTAGTCTACAAAGCAAGTTCCAGGACAGCCAGGGCTACACAGAGAAACCGTGTCTTGAAAAACCTAAAGAGAGAGAGAGAGGAAGAAAGAGAGAGAGAAGTAGTAGTTCGGAGTCATCCTCTTTTTGAACCCATCCTGGATTGCATAAAATCTTATGAATGAATGAATGAGTGAATGAATGAATGAATGAATGAAGAGAGATGGAGGGAGGGAAAGGAAGGGGGAGGGAAGCAGGGAGAAAGGGGGAGGGAAAGAAGGAAGGAAGGAAGAGAAGATGGGAAAGAAGGAATTAAAAGACAAATCCCTTCCCTATTATTACATAGCTAGCCAGGGTATGATCCAAAACTTGTGCTTATTCTTTGGGCTCTCACCAGGACCAGCATGCTTCAGTCAGATTGACTGAAATCCCCATTCATGGCACAGGATGGTAGTCGGTGTAGCTGCGGCATTTTGAAACAGTATACACTAAAAGACAGTCTTGAGGCACAGGAGGCAGGGCAAGAAGAGCTAATAAGGTGTACCTCGTACTCTCTAGGTGGGACAACTGGAGCTCTCACACAACCTGAGCTTTGTGATCATGGTACCCCAGAGCCCGAAGCAGCAACTTGAAGAAATGGAAGAGGCGCTCAACCCCACCGTCTTCAAGGCCATCATGAGGAAGCTGGAGCTGTCCAAATACCAGCCCACGTACCTGATGATCCCTCGTATCAAAATAAAGAGCAGCCAAGACATGCTGTCCGTCATGGAGAAACTGGGTGAGCCCTGGCCGCCTGCGGTTACTCCGTGGTCATGAGGAGAAGCAGGAAAGGTGGTGCTAAAATGTGGCTGTCATTCTACAGGTCTTTTTATTCCTCATCCTTAACATGAGTTTACGCCGCAGCTATGTAAGTTAAAGGGACAGGGGTTTTATCCCATGAGGCCAGAGAAAGCTGAAAGGCCAAAATCGTGTGTGACTTACCAAAAGTTTGCCTGACTTTCCCTTGAACTAGTTGGAGTCAAGGCACAATGGCAGTCCAGATGTTCAGATCTCTGGAACATTTCTCCTCTGGCTCACTGAGCCATGTGACCCAGATGGCCTGCAGACAATTCACTACCCCAGCCATACTCACTACTCAACCACCTCACAGGCTAAGCTCAAATCCGTCAAGAGATGACCGTTTAGGGGCTCTGAGTTCTAGGGAGACTTTAGAAGCACCATTTTAGTTTTTCGGTTTTTTCCCCCAGTGACTGGGAGATTTAATATTATTTAACTTTTTATTGATTCTTTGTGAATTTCACATCATACACCCTAACCCAACTTGTCTCCCCATTCTTCCATATCCACCTTCTACTCTTGTGACCTCCCCCACAAAAAGAAAACAAACAATCAATCAAAAAATCTCACCATGGAAGCTGTAGTATACCACGGTGTGTCACACAGTACACCCCATTGCCCAAATTGCCCCATGTGCCCATTGCACAGCTTTACTAGCAAATGTTCATTGCAGTGAGTCATTGGTCTGGTTCAGGGCCTCTGGCTTCTGCTACACAATCTATACCAGATCCTCACCAAGTTGCTGGGTGTTGTGCAGAGATACTGCACCTTTGATTCTGCAGGATCAGCCCTTTCATGAACTCCAGAAGTTCATAGATGGGGTAGATGTTGGAGTGAGCAATGCAAAGCCCTGGATCTGGGCCTGCTTGGTAGCTGAGTTGATCATCAGGACAGCTCTTCTACACCCAGGCCATCAGGGGCCAGCTCTCCAGAACCCAAGCTACCTGGGCCAGCAATCCAGCACTGCCTGGCAAGGAGTAGCTCACCGCCTCTCACACAAGCACCATTTTCTAGGCTTTAACTTCATCCTTCACTAGATTGGTCATTCATTTCCTGTTCTGACACTTGACCACCTATTATATATCACCTGACTTTCTAGAATCAGGATACAAAACCAAATAATAGACTAAAAGATATGCCTAGCACTCCTACTTGTGAGGAATTAAAAGGGCTTTAGGAACAGGGATCAAAAAACAGACATTGACCTAGCTGGTGGTGGCACACACCTTTAATCCTAACACTCAGGAGGCAGACTCAGGCAGATCTCTGTGGGTTCAAGGCCAGCCTGGTCTACATAGTAAGTTCCAGGACAGCCAAGGCTACATGGTGAAACCTAGTCTTGAAAACAAAACAAAATAAAAAACAAATATTAAAACAAAATGTTTTGATATTTTAAATATTTAAAATGGCGCCTCTGCTGCTAAGGAAATGCTAGGGATTTGGGGGCTCTTTGTCAGGAATTTAGGACAGAGACCAGTATATATTTATGACTTATGACTTCACAGCATTACACCCTCCTGTGATCTCATTTTATAGCATATTACCCATCTCTGTTTTCCAAAGTCCTTTTAAAAGCAGTGATGTCATTGCTTCAGGGGAGAGTAGATGGTAGGCAGAGAGTGAGGCCTCTCATCTCTTGAGAGTGGCGGTTGAGCCTCCTGGCAGGGGATCCCACTGACAAGCTCAGAAGGCATGATGTAGAATCTGAGGAGGAAGAAACTATGGGAATTTGAGACTAACCCAGGAAACTAAGAGCAGAATCTCCACCCGCCAAAAGTTCCCTTCTGATGTCTGATTTTGTTTTTCTCTTGGTTTTGCCCTAGAATTCTTTGACTTCTCTACCGATCTCAACCTGTGTGGGCTGACCGAGGACCCGTATCTTGAGGTGTCTGCCATGAAACATGAGACGGTGCTGGAACTGACAGAGACAGGCGTAGAAGCAGCTGCAGCTTCTGCCATCTCCGTGGCCCGAAACTTACTCATCTTTGAGGTGAAGCAACCATTCCTCTTCCTGCTCTGGGACCAGCAACACAAGTTCCCAGTCTTCATGGGCCGCGTATATGACCCCAGGGCCTGACAGAGGCAGGAATCGGGCTTGAGTAAATAGTGCTCCCCAGGCTTCTGCTCATCCGGTTATTTCCTTGCCACTGCCTGCCCTAGCCACTTCCAGCCTTAGGAACTGGCAGACGGAACTGTTTCCATCCACCAACTCCCAGGCTCTCGACCACTTTTTTTGCAGTTTTATGGTTTAAGCTTATCAAACTCTACAAATAAAGCTTGCAGACATTTTCTTCTCTCACTAGCCTCTGTGTACTAGTCACCTCAATACCAGAAAACAAGAATTACCATGCTTCCTGCATCAGCTACGTGTAATAAGCCATTCTATACTTAGTGGCTTAAAGTCCCCAATGTCTTGCTGATCTGCCTAGCTGAGTTTTCTTGGGCGTATAAACAAACGCATCTTCCACAGTGAGCAGGTTGGTTGGGGGATGACTGGTCTTTGATGGTTGTCTTAGTTTATTGTTGTCTTGGTTTTATTGCTGTGAAGAGACACCATGACCACAGAAACTCTTATAAAGGAAAACATTTAATTGGAGCAGGCATACAGTTTCAGAGGTTTAGTCCATTACTGTCAGGGCAGAAAGCATGGCAGCTTGCAGGCAGACATGGTGCTGGTAAAGATGAGAGTTCTACATCTTGATCTGCAGGTGGCAGCTAAAAACTGTGTGCCTCTACGTCTGGACTTAAGCATCTGAGACCTCAAAGCCCACACCCAAAAGTTACACACTTCCTCCAACAAGGCCACACCTACTCCAACAAGGCTATATACCTCCTAATAGTGCCACTCCCTATGGGCCAAGCGTTCAGACACATGAGTCTATAGGGGCCATACCTATTCAAACCACCACAATGGTCTTGGGTGGCACTTTTGGCATTCTTCTGCATGTCTCCTATGTCCTGCCACCAGGATGACCTATGTTCTAAGAACAAAGCCTCCTCCTCTCTGTCTGCCTATATCAAGTTTACTATTTTCTCATCAACCACCAACACAGTAAAATTTAGATTTAGAGTGAGAAACCACTACAAGGTTAGAGGGTAGAGAGCCATTAATTGAGGACCACAAATGCAGTGTATATGCCACAGTCCTTATCCTGATTATTTGCTTCCCCACCCCACCCCTCACACACACATATAAGTATCAATAGGCACTGGAAATGGCTCAGTGGTTAAGAGCACTTGCTGTCCTTCCAGAGGATCTGGATTCAGTTCCCAGCATCCACAGCAACTCACAATCGTTTGCAATTTCAGTTCCACCTGACACCCTTCCCCCTCCACAAGTACTAGGTATGCACACGGTGTACTGACCTAAATGCAGACAAAACACTGACACACTAAACCTATAAGATAAATAAATTTAAAAATGAAACAGTAACAGTAGTAGTGAACATGGTGGGAATAATTGTAGGCATTCTGCTAAGAGTTTTGCAGACATTTAATTGCCGTAATAACTTTGTATGACTAACTCAGGCTCTTTGAAGTCTTTTATAAAAGGTTTTCTTCTGGGCACGGTGGCACAAACCTGTAATTCAAACATTCTGGAGCAGTGGTTCTCAACCTTCCTAATGCGGTGACCCCAACCATAAAATTAGTTTCACTGCTTCTTTATAACTGGAATTTTGCTACTCTTGTGAATTGTAGTGCAAATATTTATGTTTTCTGATGGTCTTAGGCAACCCCCACCAAATGGTCATTCGACATCCCGACCCAAAGGGGTTGTGACCCATAGGTTGAGATCTATTGCTCTGGGGGTTAAGGAAGGAGGAAACATAAATTGGAAGATAGCCTGGTATAACAAGACTGCTCCCAAAAAAGCTTTTTCTATCTTTGCCTCCAAATTCGTTTTTCCTTATTGTGGGCTATATCCATGAACTCACTGACACCTCAGCCCTGACCTCTCCTGTCTCCCTTCTCCCTTCTCCCTCCTCAGCCCATCTCTCTGTCCCTGCCTCATCTCCCTGTCTCTATTTCTCCCCACCCCTCAATATCTCTCACATTCTCTCCTCCCTGTCTTCCTCATCTCTCTTACTGAAGGCACATCCAACTCAGATGTGCAGACCATCATTCCTTGATTTAACCCATCAGCTTCTCTTGCTGATGAGGTGAACGATCCAGACTCCAGCCTCATCACAGTCTCCCCTCCCCAGCTCTGTCCACACACACACACTTCAGACCCTCAAGTTCCCATCCACGACTAGCCCAGAGGTAAGTGTACTCCCTGAGCCGTCGAACTTCAGACACTATCTAAGCATCTTCCAGACATGGTGAAGATTTAATTTTCAAAAGGAGTTATCCCAAAGGTCAAGCCTGGCTGCTTGATGTACTTTTAGGTTGGGGAATCTCCCTGCAGGCTAGCAGATGGCCAGGAAACAGATTCCAAGAGCTGATACCCCACATTCTAAGAACTTCTGTCTTCCCTATCCCTCCCTCCCAGAAAATCTTGTATAAGAAGCTGAGACACTTGGGAAGTAGGTAACAGAGTAAAATGTCACCTAACCTAACTGTACACAAGCATGAAGCTCTTGGGCCTTTCTCCAAGGTACTGAGTAAGAGAGCCAGGCTCATGGCTAAATACAGGATGTGAGGTTGCCCAAGCTTCTAATAACCCTTGGCAGGATAAACTTAGCATGGATTCTGGTAGCTGTCTTGTTACTTTTCTATTGCCCTGATAAAACACCATGACCAAGGCTACTTTTGGGCTGGGGGGAGGTCACAGTTCCAGAGAGTAAGAGTCCATGACCATCAGGATAGGGAACAGAATGCCAGGCAGGCGTGGCACTGGAGCAGTAGCTGAGAGCTTAAGTCTGATCCACAAGCATGAGGGATGGAAAGAGAGGCAGAGAGACAGACACACAGAGTGACAGACAGATAGAGAGACAGAGAGACAGACAGAGAACTGGCTGGAAATAATACAGGCTTTATAAACATCAAAGCCAACCCCCAGTGACACACCTCTTCCAACAAGGCCACACCTCCTAATCCTCCCCAAACAGTTTTACTAACTGAGGACTAATTGTTCAAACATAAGAGCCTATGGGGGCCATTCTCATTCAAACCATCACAGTTGCCAAGAGATTTATTCCTGAAAGCCGGAACTTTGGTTCCTGTAATTTTCTGGTTTGTGCATGTTCTGCCTGAAGTCAAAGCATCCTTAGTGGGAGAGGAGAGGAGATGGAGCAAAAGTCATAGCTTGTCCTTTTCCTTGATATTCACCTGCTGTGGCTCTGTTCTGGTCCTCAGGCTTCCCTCCAGTTTCTGACTCCTCATGCAGACTAGGCAAAACCAAGCAAAGCCTCATTGAATCAAGAAAAGCTGATTCTTCACTGTAGCTTGTCTTCCAGTCAAGACCAAGAACCAAATAAGTCACCTCAACTTGTCCAAGACCATGGAAAGATCACGTTTCATTGTCTACATGCCCTTCTTTCTGTACCTGTGTGGACTATGTGTGGAGGTTTGACCTTGCTGGCTTACATAACCTCTTGCACACATTTTGAGACATGATGATGAGGAATCACATGGCCAACTGTTCCATGTCATCTCATTTTTGTAGAAGCCACTCTGTTTGTTTGGTTTTTTTTTTTCAAACAGAGGTAGCAGACATTCTAGAAAACAAACAGGTATTCAAGGTCTTTCCTTTTTGGTTGTTTGGTTGGTTGTTTGTTTGGTTGGTTAGTTTTGGTTCGTTTGAGACAGGGTTTCTCTGTGTAGCCCAGGCTGTCCTAGAACTCACTCTATAGATCAGGATGACCTTGAACCAGAGATCCACCTGTCTCTGGCTCCCATGCCCTGGGATTAAAGGTGTGTGCCACCACCATTTGGCTACAAGGCCTGTGGAATGTGAAGCTAGGAAGAAATATAACATCACTCCTGCTTAATTACATTGATCAGTTAGTGGACAAACCAGCTCAAATTCAAGATAAAAGGACAGAATCTCTACCTCTTAAAGACAAGACTCTCAAAGTCACTCTGCAAAGAGTGTGGATGTAAGAATGTACGAATCACTCTGGGCACATTTCCAGTCTAAATGGTTGTACGTATTTGTACAGAGACTTTTAGCAACTCTCCCTTGCAAGCTGTTGCTCTGAGCTTTTCCTTAGGAAAACCAAAAGGATGGCTTAGCCCCTGAAAGTGCAGAGGGAACCAACTTTCAAAAGTTGTTCTGTGTCCTATACAACACACACACACACATACCCACAAAACACACACACACACAAACCACACATACATACCCTGTAGACATACAATTTTTGCAATCTATTTTTAGTAAGGGTTCAACCTCTCCTATAGCCCATAACCCAGCAGAGGTAGTGGAAGAGAAAAGTTATTAGGATATGGGGGATCTGTTCAGCAATAATTCTTTGGGAACAAGCTTGATCTTCTTTGGCAGCAGTTCAGTCCTGTAGCAAGCATCAAATGTGACTCAGAAGCTGCAGACCAGTCCTCTAGGCAGGCAGACACCAGCCAGCTGTAGTCCAGTCCAGAAGAAACTGCCAGGCTCACCAACCGGCCTGAGGTGAGGACTCAGAAGCAACAAGCCCTGGGCAAGTTTCTCTCAATGTCAGCATTATCACAAGTTGAGCTCAACAACTCTGTGTAAGGCAAACCAATACATATGTGCCTTTAACGAAGAATAGTAAGGCAGAGCAAAGCAAACCAAAGCTCAGTGCTTGTCTCCCACTGTCTGTGGGGTCATATTTATACTCTTTCAAGTGTCCTTTCACATGTCTGCTATATCCAAACATCCTTTCACCTGTGTCTGCTTCAGGAAAACAGTCTTTCACTTGTTTGCTTTAGGAAGACATCCTATCACCTGGGTGCCTCAGCAAAACATCATTTAACATAGCTAACTTTCCAAAGAACTAGAAGTTTTCACTTCAATACCCTGTCACATATACACATATACCACACACGCACACACACACACACATACACACACAAAAAAAAACTAAAATGAGCCAGATGAGATAGCACACACTTGTAGTCCCAGCACCCAGGAGGCAGAAGCAGACAGATCTCTGTGAGTCTGGTCTACAAAATGAGTCCAGGACAGCCAGGACTCTGTTATACAGAGAAACCCTGTCTAAAAGCAAAACAAAACACACACACACACACACACACACACACACACACACAAAACACTCAAATGAATTAAGTAAAGACATTTTGTTGACATCATAATAATAGGAAAAGATTTGTTGCCTGCAGCTGTAGGACGATTGCTTTGACTTTTCTTCTGCTGACTCTGTGACATCCTTAATCCCAGTTCCAGCAACACATGTATTTTTGAAAAAGACAGAGGGTTTCAGAGAAAGACATACACTCCTAAAATATCCACTCTGAAGCCATTCTTTAGGGCAGACAGGGTCTTATAAGTCAGCAAACCTATTCCTATGATCCTGTCTGTCCCCTACGAAGCACCTGTGTGAAATTCTAATAGACCAGTTGATTGTGGTTTCTGTACAATAAGCATTTCTACCACATGATGGCGCTATTGAAGCTTTGTCTTGCATAGCCACGTGGACATTACCCTTGAATTTTGGTTGGTCCAGACTAATTTCCTTTTCTCTTCTTTCAAATATGAAAAATCTCAGGAATTTGCATGCAGTTTTTATATGGGGCCATGACAATCTTTGTGTAGTTCTCTTCTGTTTTGTTTTTACTGTGTATGGGTGTTTTGCCTTTATGCATATATGTCTGTGTACCACATGTGTCCCTGGCGACCACAGAGACCAAAAGAGGGTGTTAGATTGAAGAACCAGCCTGCCTTCATCCTAGGCTTAAAAACCATCTTATTGTAAAGGTAAACTAGATTCATTCCTGTTTATGATTAAGCTGTTTTTCGTGGATTGGGCTATGCCCCATCTGTAACCTTAACTACAAATGGTTCTTTACTGCCTGTTTCAAGAATGGGAGTCATGTCTTTGTTTCAAAAAGTTAATCATCGTTTTGCAACCCTATCTTTGTTTAAACCAGGTTGTTATGGCTACGTTGTCATGACTACCTGTTGTTACGACCACCTTGCAGTCATGCTTTTGTTTCCGGAGGGCATTATAACTAGCTAGTTATGCTTAAATTCTGCTCCTGTAATCCCGCCCATTTTGCTTGCCAAATTCCCATTTGGAAATCCCCTACCCCTAAACCATAAAAATCTTGTCTTCCTCATATCCAATACTGACCTCTCAAACCCTGTCTGGGGGGAAAGCAGCCCATGTACACTAATAAAAAGCTTGTTTTAATTAATTGCTTGCTTTAATGAATTTGGCCACGATAGTCACAGAACTGGAGTCACAGACAGTGTGTGCTTCCCTGTGGGGGCTTGAAAGGAAGTGTAAGTACTCTGGAAGAAGAGTCAGTGCTCTTAACCACTAAGCCATCTCTCCAGCCCCTAGTTCTGATATTTCCATGTGTGCTGCTGAAACCAACAGTGATCCACAATCTTAAGTTGCCCAATATGGATTTAAACTTTTTAAGTTGCCCAATATGGATTCCTGGACAAAGGTATGGTTCAGTAACAGTGCTTGTCTAAAACACAAATACAAAAAGTTGGGATTCCATCCACAGACAACAATAAACAACCAAACTTACCAAGTTTATAGTTCCCACCAGCTCAACTGCTGTTTCAGTAGCAATACCTTCAGGTTATGTTGAGACTCTGGAAGGCTCCAGACCTCTGTGTCACACACAACCATCCTGGTGCTCACCAATGTTCCGGGTCTTGTCCTAAGATATAGCTAGTAGTCATAGCGGTATCAGTAACTACCCAACACAAAGTGAGCCCAATGTTATTTAATTTTAGGAGCCAGTTTGACAGGATTACGCCATTATCTTTGGATATGTCTTTGAGAATGTTTCAGAGAAGACCAGCATGTGGATACAATGGAGCAGTGTAGAAGATGTGTTTTTGGTATAGATAGGGATATCCAGCTGGCTTCAGGCACAGATGAAGCAGAAAGATAAAAAGAGGGGGTAGAGAGATAACTCAGTAGTTAGGAGCTCTTGCAGAGGACCAGGGTTTGATTCCCAGCACCCACATCATGGCTCACATTGCCTTTAACTCCTGTTATGAAGATCTGATGTCCTCTTCTGCCCTCTGTGGGTACTTGGCATGCATGAAGCACACATACACACATGCAGACAAAATTACACCCACACCCTGAGCAAGTGAGATATCTTAGTGGGGGTAAATCACCTACAGACCTGAGGATGATCTATATTCAATCCTCCAGACCCACAAAGTAGAAGGAAAGGAGAAAACCAATGTCTGCAAGCTGTCTCTGACTTCCACACTCATGTCATGGCACACACATGCCTACACATGACACACTAAGTGACTAGGTAATGTAAAAACAATTTTTAAAACATCTGCACCCATAAATATAAAATAGAATTTTTAAAAATTTAGGGTAAAGGAAATAAATTTGTTCACTCTTTTTTCTAGAGCCGGGACATGCTTTTATTGTTTGGACATTAGATTACTGGATTTTCTGGCTCGTAGAGTCCAGTACTCTCAACAACAGTTTCCAGTTCTCAGATCTTTGGCCTCTGAGAGTTACACCACAAGCTTTCTTGGTTCTGAGACCTTTGAACTCGGACTGTGCTGTATCACCAGTTTCCCTGATTGCCCAGTGTATTAATGGCCTGTCATAGAACTTTTCGGTCTCGGTAATCATGGAAGCCCATCGCTTTAGTAAGTATCCTTTTAGCATGGTGTGCTGGCATAGGCTAGATTCCCATCCTTGGGAGGGAAAGGCAAGAAAATTGGGACTTCAAGGATATAGCCTCAGCTACATAGCAAGTTCCAGAATACTCTGGACCCTTTCTCAATAGACTAGAAAAACAAAAACAAACAAACAACACAATAACCAAATAGCTAAACAAAGACACAAGCGAGAGGATCATGGTGGATGGCCCCAGGTGTAAGCGCAGAAAGTAGGCGAACCCGGGGTGCAATAACGTTACAAATTATAATACTGTGGTAGAAGCAAATTCAGAATCCGACGATGAAGACAAACTCCATATTGTGGAAGAAGAAAGTATCACAGATGCGGCTGACTGTGAAGGAGGTGTACCAGACGACGAGCTGCCATAGTGTTACCAGGGGGGGGGGGGGGGCGGGCGGAGCAAGAGCTGCTGGCAAGACGGTGAGTGGAGCTCCTTATCAAGTCTTCTTCTCTGTAGTTTGTATTAAACGAAAGACAAATTGGGTAAAAGTTTCAAGTAAACAGTAAAATTACTTGTATATTAGCCAGCATTAGATGTCTTACTTATTTTTAAAGTAGATTTTGAGTCAGAATAATGTTGTTTTGACAGTTTGCAGAGTACCTAAAATACGTGGAATTTATTAGAAGTTTATAAACTGGCTGAGCTTGCCTCATATTGTTGAAGCATGTTATCATATGCTTGTATCTACCTTTAATTTCATATAGGAATATGCAAATTAACAATAGATTTATAAAGTGATAAATGAGAATGTAATAAAATAATCCCGTATGCAAAAAAAAAATAGCTAAACAAACAAAAACAAAGGCCTGGGCCAGATGTGGTGGCAAGTGCTTTTTTTTTTTTTTTTTAAAGATTTATTTATTTCATTTATATGAGTACACTGTAGCTGTCTTCAGACACACCAGAAGAGGGCATCAAATCTCATTACAGATGGTTGTGAGCCACCATGTGGTTGCTGGGATTTGAACTCAGGATCTCTGGAAGAGCAGTCAGTGCTCTTAACCACTGAGCCATCTCTCCAGCCCCATGGCAAGTGCTTTTAACCTCAGCACTGACAGAGCAGGCAGCTGTCTCAACCGCTGAGTTACCTCTCTGACCCTAGTTGGGTTTTTTCATAGATTTCAAAACTGATCATCTCTAATTTCCATTACAAAGTTATTGATTTTGGAGGGGTATTTTTGTTGCTGTTGTTTTTTTTTTGTTGTTGTTGTTTGGCACTAACACCTTGGCTTAATGAACGGAGATAACGTCAATCCAGGATGCAGACGGTATCTTAAATGATTCCTCTGGATGTTACAATCACATTGCGTCATCGTTAATGTCACTGTCAAAAGTTATGATGTACTTAAACAACAGCTCAATTTCACATGAGTGTTGATGGCGGTTATTTACTGTTGCTAGCTTAAGTGGCTCAGTCATTAGCCATAATTGGGAGTATAGTTTATAACCTCATCAACCAACAATTTTAAAATTATGTAATCCTTGATGATTTTTTTATAATTGTGGGAGATTTTCAGTATTTCAAATTTGTACCATTAAAATTTATATAATATACAAGTAGCACCGGGCATTTTTATCTCCTCTTTATAAATGAAAAACATGAAGCTTTTATTCATCTAATGCACTTATTCAAAGTGTCTCAGCTGACAAGTGGTGGGGTTAGGAGTAGGCTCCAGTGTCTCATTCTAGAGCTCGTGCTTGATACACAAGATTCCTTTCTTTCTCCCCATGGTAGTTTTATCTTTTAGAAGGTACTGACCACTATTTCTTCTCCTCAGCCTCGGGTAAGACACACCCAGAAGCTTGGCATGGGTTTTCTTAGGAAGAAATGCTGAGAACATATGAGGTTCCCTATTTTCCATAACAGGGACCTTGGATGTAACCACCACAAATGCAGGTAGAACACTGACTGGTCCACTGGTCCAGTGCTTTCAGAATAGGCTGGGGCTGCCATCTACATCACTGAGAGGGACCAGACTTCAGAGTTTCTACAAATGACACATACGAAAGCCTGATACTTCAATGATTCCTCACTCTAGTCTTTGCCTTGAGTAGCAACTTAACACGTATGCTGTGGTGGGTTGAATATGCTTGGCTCAGAGAGCAGCACTTTAGGAGGTGTGGCCTTGTTGGAGGAAGTGTGTCACTATGCGGGTGGGCCTTGAGATAGCTTCATCTTAGCTGCTTGAGGATGCCTGTCTTCTGTTTGCCTTCAAAATGTGATATAGAACTCTCAGCACTTCCAGTTCCAGGCCCACCTGGACCCTGCTATGCTTACTGCCTTGATGATAACGGACTTAACCTGTGAGCCCCAACGCCAATTAAATGTTGTCTTCCTAAGCGTTGTCTCGGCCATAGTGTCTCTTAACAGCAGTAAAAGACATATACCCACTTATACACATGTAAATACGTGACAGAGAGAGAGAGAGAAAGAGAGAGAGAAAAAGAGAGAGAGAGGGAGGGGAGGAGGGAGGGAGAGAGAGAGGAGTCACAGACACGTGCAGATGTTCACATTCACACTGTTCAAAAAGCACACACATGCTGCTGTTTTGAAAGGAGTAAACATTACATCCAGCTCCTGAGGAAGGCCTCTTGAGTAAGAAGGGTACATCCGTTTCCCACCGAGCTGCTCATCACTAATTACAAGCCTTGAATTAGCCTCATCCATCATTCTGAAGTGACAGACAGGCCCCACAGTTCCCTTCCCCATCCTACTCTGTTTCTCATTGAGTGACCACAGATCTGTTCCACAAAGCAAAACAGCATGTTAGCCCAATATTCAGTCCTCTCGAAAACCATAAATGTGGGTGTGTCCAGGTCAACCCCTAGTCTTCTGCCCCTCTCCCCCACCACATAGAGACTCTCCCTCCCCACCTCCCATGCCAAACCCTCTTTCAACTACTCTTTACATGTGCATGTATTACACTGCAACAATCCTGTGGCTTCAAATTGATTTTTACCACAGTCACAAATAAAAATAAGAAATAATTTTTCCGGCCGGGCAGTGGTGGTGCACGACTTTAATCCCAGCACTTGGAAGGCAGAGACAGGCGGATTTCTGAGTTCGAGGCCAGCCTGGTCTACAGAGTGAGTTCCAGGACAGCCAGGGCTACACAGAGAAACCCTGTCTCAAAAAACCAAAAAGAAAGGAAGAAAGAAAGAGAGAGAGAGAGAGAGAGAGAGAGAGAGAGAGAGAGAGAATTTTTCCAAGGTCAATATACAGGCAAGACTAGAAATGTCATTTACAGCAGGGTCCCAACTCTGTCTCCAACACACTAGCTCAGGTAGGAAGAGCTAGCAGAAGCTCAGCTCAGCATTTGTGCTTGGAAGCCCCACGGGGACCTCGGCTACATCACCTCTCTTCTATTGCAGTTTAAGATCCCAAAGATGTATTAGCCCCATCAGGAGAGACCAGAACAAACCTTAGAGGTACCAGGTCAGTGACTGAGCAGATAGTGCACAGCAGAGCCAATGGAGCAAGGATGCTCCCAGGGGGCCACACTGGTCACAGTCACTTCTTTCTTAGATAGTTCTAGGCTCCAGCATTAGGATTTCAGCCTCAGACTCTTCTATCTTAACCAGACTTCCATCCCTGCAACTCCAACCCCATAGCGATGAAACTCTACTTTGTGGAAGCAGGCTGATTTCCAAGAGCATCCCAGAGTGAGGTCAGGAATGGGCCACACGTGAGAAGTTTGCTCTGGTACTAAGGCTGAAATAAGTTTGAAAACCTCCCTAAAGGTATACACATCTTTTTTCATTGTCCTTGGCTCTATGCACAATGTCTGACACCTGCCAAGTACCACTTGGATACATATTGCTTAGAACAAAACACAGAGAAAAAGAGAGAGCCTTTCTGTACACTCAAATGTTTCTTCTTGTGTATCTAGTACAACCTCATTCCCCAACATGTTTTCTTGTCTTCCTCCAACACAGAACCTTCCTGCACTGTAGACCCTGTCTTATCTACTCAGTAGCAACCACCAGTAAGCTCATTTTAAAATGTGGGTTTTTTTTTTTTCTAGTGCTGGGATCTGAACCCAGAACTTCATTGTAAATAAATGCTATTCCAGACTCAGGAAGCCCTTTGTGAACCTAATTCAGACCACATTCCACTTCTTTGGCGTCACTTACTCCTGTGAGTGTTTAGTAAATAGCCCAGAGTTGTGGCTCACATCCATTAACCGCAGCATGTGTCTAGGGTATATATCTAGAGGCAGGAAGATTGCATGTTTGAGACCAAGATAAGCTAAGAGTGAATTTGAGGCCAGCCTGTGGTACACAATAAGACCCTGTTTCATACACAAAAATAGATTACAACAAACAAGGCCTTAATGATTAGATGCACTATTCCCATTCTATAATTTCGCCAACCAGGGGAGTTCAAGAGAGAACTTGGAAGGGAAAGCAGGAAGATCAGGAGTTCAAGGCCAGCCTTAGTTAAGTGAGTTCATAGGCCAACTTTGGCCATTCAAGACTCTGTTTTAAAAAGATAAAACAATAGACAAATAAAAAAACCAAACTTGGAGAACATGACTGGCATTGTAGAGGAATGTAGTTAGGGGACTGAGAATATCACTCTAGGAAAAAAATTAAAACTAGCCAGCCAGGCATGGCAGCTCATGCCTGCAAACTCAGCACTTAGGGAGACTGAGGTAGGAGCATGGTGAATTTCAGGCCAACCTGAAGTGCACAGGAAGACCTTGTCACAAACAAGATTCATACTGGTCATGTGCAGTGAGTCTTTGAGTCAGGTCTGGATACGGCAAGTTGTTATAAAGGGCAAGCTTAGCCTGTAGTGGTGGTGGCACACACCTTTAATCTCAGCACTCCAGAGCCTGGTCTACAGAACAAGTTCCAGGACAGCCATGGCTACACAGAGAAACCCTGTCTCAAAAACATAAAAGAAAAAGAGCAAGCTTGCCTTTGTATCCCTCTGGCTTTTAGTCTCACCATGTGATCACTCCCTCTCAAACATTTTCTTACCATGGTGGTGTCCAGCATGTTCTGATGCACCCAAAGCATCCCTCACTAAAGGCCCAACTAATAGGGCAGCTCAATCTTAGACTTTAAGCTAAGTAATGTTTTTTTTCATTTTTTCTTTTTTGAGACAATTTTCTTTTCCTTCCCCCTTTTTTTAAAGAATTAAAGAAAAAATTTAAATATATATTTATTCATTTTATGTATATGAGCACAGTGTATCTGCCTTTAGAAACACCAGAAGAGGAGATTGTATGCATTACAGATGGTAATGGCCACCATGTGGGTGCCGGGAGTTGAACTCAGGACCTCTGGAAGAGCCATCAGTGCTCTAAACCTCTGAGCCATCTCTCCAGCCCTTCTTTTCCTTCTTAAATGTTGTATTTATAACTTTTATTGTACATGTGAGTATTTTTCCTGCACATATGCATGTGTACCAAGCACATGCTTGGTACCTCCAGAAACCAGAAAACAGCACAGGATCCTCAGGAACTGGAGTTACAGATGGTTGTGAACCATCACATGGGTGCTGGGATCAAATCTAGGTCCTCTGCATCCTCAGACAATGCATAGCTGTTGTCTCAGCACTTGGTAGCAGAGGTGGAGGAATCATCTGCTAGATAGCAAGTTTGAGGTCACTTTGGACTACATGAAACTCTGTCCCAAAGTTGAGGAATTTAGCTGTAGACAAGGTTTTAGCATGTTCACTTTCCATCACTTGCCTCTGATTCTGTTTACTGCCTTGTCACATTAGAGTTTCGGCACGTGACAGTAGCTATGACCAGCAGCAGTTTCAAGTTTGTCTTCTTTCACTAACATACCAGTCCTAGCAATGTGACTTTTTCAAAGATTCAAGCCAAAACTATGATTGACTCTGATTGGATACTCATCCTTGAATCAATCATTATGATCTGATTAGCTAAGTCTGGTATGATTGGCAGCCTTTGGGATGACCCTCAAGGATGCTGTATCCTGGTAGCCAGGCTCTTGTGTAATTCCCTCCTCTTGAATAACTAATTTCTTTTCTCTCCATTATTATTATTATTATTATTATTATTATTATTATTTTAACAGAGTAACTGACTTCTAACCAATAGGTTGTTAATGTTAAGGGGTTACCTCTTCTATGATTGTGTTACTAAAGCTTGTGACTTTCATCTTGCCAGCAGGATCTCTTTCTTGTTGGCTGGAATGATTCAAGCTACTATGTTGAAGAGCCCCACACTGCAAAGAACTTAAGTTAATAACCCTGTGAAACAGAGGCCCTTCGTCCACAGTACTGGAGGAATTGAATCTTGAAACAATGATGAAAGTAAGCATGGACCAGATCTTCCCCTATGGAACCACACTTTGAGGGTAGCTTCCTGAGAAACTTTAATCAGAGGCCCCAGCTAAGACTCACCCAGCTTCCTGAGCCACAAAAACAGTGAGGAAAAGAAATGTGTGTTATCCTAAGACATTAAGTCTAGACTAACTTGGTACATAGCAATAGGCAGCTAGTACATTTCAGTTGTGTAACTGCCCTTGCATGGGCAGATGGGGTCCGTCTCATATGAATCATGGTGACTAAAAGTAAATAGTAGGTATCTCTAGAAAACAGAAGTGAAATGCGGTTGCCAGAGGCGGGTGGAATCTAGTCAAGCAAAGTCAGCAGCTGCTCATCTCACACATCTGTTTGGGAATGTAAGAAGACAGCTGGAAACACATGCAGAGATACAGATTTGGCAATGACTGTTGTAAGTTAAGAATGGATAAAATCATCACTGAAAACAGAAGAGTCAGGAGCAGCTCCCTTGGGGATAAAAACAATTAAACAGCAGATGGGAAAAGAGCCCAAAGGGATAGGCAGAGGCAGAAGTGTAGAAAGACATGGGTTTGATGTTAAACAAATTGAGCTTGTTTGGCAGGTACGACATCTGTCTAAGGAATTGTTGTTCTGTTAGAAATCTGAACTTTGAGCTCAGAAGTTATATGTTTGCAATTGTCATTACAGAAACAACTAGAGACTGACCGTGGTTCTACACAGCTGTGACACGAGCACCTGAGAAGCTGAGGCAATAGGATGGAGTGCAAGGCCAGGCTGAGGAACATGCAAGACCTTGTCTCAGAAAACAAGATAGAGTGAAGCAAACAAGCACAGAAATGTGACTGTCAAAATCAGGCACACGACAATCTTGTCCAATGAGAGCATGCATGGAAGAAAAGAACTAAGGATACATTCTTGCAATGACGAGTGGTGGCGGCTCACGCCGTTTATTACAGCACTTGGAAGACAGAAGCAAGTGGATCTCTGTGAGCTCAAGGCCAGCCTGGTCTACAGAGTAAGTTCCAGGACAACCAAAGCTATACAGGAAAAACACTGTCTTGAAAAACAAACAGGTGCTGGAGAGATGGCTCATTGGTTAAGAGCACTGACTGTTCTTTCAGAGATCCTGAGTTCAATTCCCAGCAACCACATGGTGGCTCACAACCATCTGTAATGGAATCTGGTGCCTTCTTCTGGTGTGTCTGAAGACAGCGAGACAGTGTACTTATATACATAAAATAAATAAATCTTTTTTAAAATGTGGAAAAAAAGAAAAAATAAAATAAATTCTTGCAGAACCTGTATGCTTAGGCAGTAAGAGAGGAAAGAGGGAGCTGTAGAAAGATAGCTGAGCTGGAGATAGAAACAGCCCAGGAGGGACACGTGTCCCAGACATCATGGACACATGCAGTGGGCTTGAGAGATGGCTCAGTGGTTAAGAGCACTGACTGCTCTTCCAGAGTTCAATTCCCAGCAACCACATGGTAGTTCACAACTATCTGCAACTCCAGTTCCGGAGAATCTGACACTCTCAAACACCAATGCACATATAATAAAATAAACAAATTTTTGAAAAGACACATGTAGTCAACACGACAGATGATAACTGGAAAGAGAATAGTGGATCAATACCAAGGTGGCCTTAGGAAGTAATGTGTGTCTTAGTGGGACTATTTCAGTAGGAGCGGGACCAGAAACAAACTACACAAATTTAAAAATAGTCACATATGGCTGGTGAGATGGCTCAGCAGGTCGAGATACTTGCTGCCAAGCCTGGAGACCTAAGTTCAAATCCTGGAACCCACAAGAAAGGAAAGAAATTCCAGATTTTGTCCTCTGACTTCCACATGAACACCATAACATATGTGCACAGTACACATAAATAATCAATGTAATAAAAAAAGTTTTGAGACGAGGTCTCTCCTTACACCTGGCTGTCTTGGAACTCACTCTGTAGGCCAGGCTGGCCTTGAGCTCTCAGAGATCTGCCTCCCAAGGGCTGGAATTAAAGACAAGTACCAACACACCTGGCTATAAAAAGTATAATAATTTTCCCCCTTCGCTCTGGCCCCGTTTGCTCTGGCCTAGCCCCGCTCGCTCCAGCCCAAAGGTTTTATTTATTTATTTATTTATTTATTTATTTATTTATTTATTATATGTAAGTACATTGTAGCTGTCTTCAGACACCCTATAAGAGGGCATCAGATCTCATTACGGATGGTTGTGAGCTACCATGTGGTTGCTGGGATTTGAACTCATGACCTCTGGAAGAGCAGTCAGTGCTTTTAACCCCTGAGCCATCTCACCAGCCCATGATAATAATTTTAATGAGTGAGCAGAGCTGGAGAGATGGCTCAGTGCTCAAAAGTGAGTACCGCTCTTGAGAAGACCAGCATTCAATTCCCAACATTCACATCTGGTAGCTTATATCTACTTGTAACTTCAGCTGCAGGGGGATCTGATGCCTCTGGTCTCCTTGTACACTTACACCCGTGTCTTCTTATCTACTATCCACATACACAGATTTAAAAAAAATTTTTAAATGGGTCAGTAAATCACTCATGCCAGACATACTGAAACAGATGCTATACATTCTCTGAATGCATGTAAAATTCATATGAGGAAGCTGAAAAATTGGGTCTCAAAGTAGAAAGGTGTTGTGGTGATTACTGGGTGATAGAAATTCTGGAGAGGAGGGCTGGTGGTATGGTGCAGAAAAACCAGAGGTTATATGAATGATGGACACTGAGTCACTTACCTAAGAGGAGAAGCTGTTGTGGTGTGAGCATAGCAGGGGGTCTGGGTCATAGCAATTTGTATAACTTATGAAAGAAAAACTAGAGAAAAAGGAGACATTCCTGTTAATTATCCTGACTTGATCGTTGATATATTATAAACTTGTGATTGACTCACATACTGTATACAAAATTGTTATGCATTAATTTAAAATGAAATAAATGAACAGAACATAGAAGAAGAGCTAAAGAGTGAAGATAGTTCTGCTGAGTGTTTTGCAACAGGCAGAAGCCCTGAATTCATCCATGGAGACCGAGATGAAAAGTGAATTGTGTCCTGCCAACACCATTGTTAGGCATATTGCTTGCCTGCTTGTATTTCCTTCTTTTCCTCTTTCCCATTTGCTCGCCTCCCACTCTTTCCCTTTTCTTATTCTCCTTCATTTTTGTTGTTGTTTGAGACACTGTCTTATTATGATGTAGCTCAGGTTAGCCTGGAAGTCACTATGTAGTCTAGGCTGGCTTCAAACTCATGATGAACAGTACTCCTGCCTCAACTTCCAGAGTGCTGGGATGACGTCACAGTCACCTTTCCAGATTCTTCTCAGTTGCCCATTTTACATTTTTCTAAAATGAACAAAGTCTAAAACTTCTCATAAGCTAGGTGTTTGGCAAGTTTGTTATTATAAACTGCCAGGTAGTAAATCAGCTAGACTTTTGTCAGCTATGTTTTCAGCTGCAACCACTCAGCTTGATTGCAGAAAGTAGCCAAGGGAGTATATAAACTATCGAGCACAATTGTGTCCTGGTGAGCTTTGTGCGCGCAAAGATAGGAGGATGCAGGAGTAGGTCTGCGAACTGTACCTTGCTGACCCTTCCCCTAGCTTAGGGAAAGGCATTGGAGATATAGTCATTAGGGCAATGGCTGAAGCATGAAGACCTCAGAGAAAGGAATGTACTTCAGAATAAAGGCTCTCATGTCTATTAGAGCCTGTCCCTTTGGATGTGCCTGCTGTCTAATTCTCTGCTTTGCACACCTAGTAACAGACAACATGTTTGAGGCCATTCCAGAGCCTTCCCTACTGTCTGTTATTTGCCAGAGGTGAAAGCACAGGAGAGAAGCAAAACAGTAAAGATAAAAAGGGCTCCTTACTGGAGGAGGAGGGGAAACTGAAGAGGCTCTTACTGACAAGGCTGCTTGAGTTCGCTTTCTTTCCAGAGAAGCTGTTCTGTTCTCTTTTCTGAGAAGAGATGGAGTCAAGCAGGGCTTTGGAAGGCTGTGAATGGCAAAGGAAACGCTTCATGCATATGATATACATGGGCAGAGCCAAGAGAACCAGTCCTCTAGTGGGGAAGGAGAGGCTGCTCTGTCTGCAGGGAGAGGTCTTGTTGAACAAGAGGACTTTCAGGTCAAGACAAGCACAGCCAGCCAGAGAGCTGGGGATAGAGGTGCTAGACCAGCTAGAGGAATAGATGGGCAGTGTCACTTGGGAAGGGAAGTGAGGAGGGAGCCTTCGAGGGTAGATTTGTACCACTTAGCAAGACCTTGTCTCAAGAAAGTCCCCAAACAACACACACACACCAAAGAAACAAACATCCAAGAATATTCTGTTATTCATCAGTGTAAAGAATATATATATATGTGTGTGTGTGTGTGTGTGTGTGTGTGTGTGTGTGAAAATAGCCATTGTATGAAAAAGGCCAGTCTCAGTTTTATAGCAAATGCAAGGTTGTGGTACCCTGTCTCAAAGCAAAACAAAACACACAAAATAAACAACAAAAAGTCATAAAGAAACTCAGTATACAATTAATGTATACTGATAAAATTTAAAATTTTAAACTACATTTGAAAACCAGTTCCTCTACCCTAGCCAGATTTCAAGTGCTTAATAGCTTTGTGTGTTTGCTGGAACACATGGTAATCTTAGATGACACACATATAGAACCGTTTCCGTTTTTTACGCAGAAAATTCCACATGGCAGCTCTGTTTTGGATCACTCTTTTGCAATTGAGGAGACTGAGGCCTACGGAAGGAACATGACTGCTGCATGCTTGTTACAGGCTGATATAAGTCTAGATACAAGCTATGCTATTTCCTGATCTATCCCCCCACCCCATTTTCTCCTTCCTCCTGAGACTCTAGGGTCCTCCAGCTCAAAGACCCTAACCAGTGCAAGAAAGTCAGCCTGGACGAGGCAGGGGTGCTGGTGATGGGGGTGGGGGCAAGGCTGGTTCAGAGGGATGTTTGTAACTGAACATGGCTTCAGATGCTGCGCATTCCTGATCGGGTCAGGCTTGCCCTGCGGCACTCGGGATTAGCTCTTCTGAACAGCCCCACCTCTTCTTTCTGGAGTTGCCAGTTTCCTGCCCAGCCCAAGGGGCGCGTGTATTCAGGGAGGCTCCCGTACTGCTTTGGGTGAGGCAAAAAACGCTGAGAAAATTCCCAGCTAGAGAAGTACTTCTGGTCAGAGGGAGAGTTGAAGATAGGCAGGAAATTGACACAGTACATCTTTCAGAGGTCTCCAAGTCCAGCACCCGGGGGCATCTGGGAACAGGGCTTCTGCCAACCCAACCGCAAGTTACATTTGGCGGGAATTGTATTTGCCTTCACCTGGGGTCGTGTGTGTGTGTGTGTGTGTGTGGGGGGGGGTGATGGAAAAGAGCTGGAAGAGGGGCATCCTGAAATGGGGTAGGAGTAGGGAACAGGAGGCGAGAGGCCAGGGGAGGGGGCGCCAGGGAGCGCCCTGACCTCGAGGGCTGTCGAGAGGCGGAGAGGATGGGGGTTGGGGGAGAAGAGGGGAGCCTGGCAGCCAATGGGAGAGAGGATCTCGTTTCAAAAGGGTTAACACACAGCCAATGAGAGCCTGGGGGAGCGGATCCTGCTCACTCCATTCAAGAATCCCAAGTATTCAAGATGGACGGCAGGGAGTGTGGAAGGAGAAAGGGGGCGCGGGGGGAAGAGCCAGATCTGTAGAGGAGCGGAGCGCCGCAGCCAGCCTATCCCGGAGCCTCGGTCCTGGCCGGCGGGTAGAAGGGCGGCCGGCGAGGACTAGAGCCTGGCGGGGGAAGAAAGGCTGGCGGGATACGAGAGGGCGTGAGAAGGGAAGCGAGGCCAGAAAAGAGAGCCAAAAGGGAGGGAAAGGCAGAGAAAGAGCCCGGGAAGAAGGAGGTGGCGGGCAGAGGAACCTAAGAAGAGCGATGTGTAGGTATTGGGAGCTCGGCGCTTTTCGGTTTTCTTCTCTCGGCGAGGGGAGGGGGTGCTCTGGCCTTTTTCTCTCCTCTGCCCTCCCCCCCTCACTCGTAGGCATCTTCTATATTTTTCTTTTCGAAACACTAACTGGAGGGCGCCAGGCATGTCTTTCTGAGATAGCCTCACTGTCATTTTCCAGTGGGGGGCGTGGTGGGAATGGGTGGGGGGCTCTGAGGCTGAGCCATCTGCCTGTCCCTGGGCTTGGGAGGGTGTGGGGACGAAGGGGACTTGGAGGGTGTGTTCCAAGAACAGCAAGAGCATTGCAGGGAATTCGTCACGTTCAGAACTTGCGAGGTGAGCCCCACTTGCTTGTAGGGGTGGGGGTGAGGCTGGCTTTAACTAGTAGCGGTGGGGTGCGAGGACGTGGGGAGCCGTGTCTCCACCCTCCAGTTGGGGTGAGTGTCGACTGTGGGGTGAGTTGTGCGGCAAGTACGGCTGAGAGTTTGTGCGTGTGCGTGAGAGCGCGTGTGGTCCAGCCTCGAGGTGTAGCGGGGGGGGGGGGGGCACAGTTGGGTGTCGAGGGAAAGTGCCCCTCACCCCACACTTCCCAGCTGCCCCTCTCATCCCATTCACAGAACAGGGCTTTCAGGACCCTCCTCTCCTCCTCCCGTCGCCATGGTTGCGAGAGGAGGTGGGGGAGATTGCAGGAGGAGACAGTTGGAGCCAGCCCCTTGCCCCTGCTGCTCCAGCTAACCCCCCACCTGCCCTTTCTCTCCTTTCCACAGGCTGGGCCCCATTCCTGCTGCTCTGGCGGGCTGGGGCCGGAAGATGGTGGCCAATGAGGAGGGGGAGTGGAGAGAACTTGAGCCAGGGCCTCCCCTCCCCCATTTCCTCCTCTGTTTCTACACCCGCTTCTGGAAGGAGCTGGGGGATGGCTCCTAGGCCCAAGGTGGGGGAGGGGTCCTGCTGGCTGTTGAATTGCTGGTCTCCCCTCAGGAATGAGTTGGGCACCTGAGCTCCAAGGGACTCCCACCTGCGTATCCCTTCTCTCCCTAAGGAAAGATCTGGGGACTCCTTGATGAAGAATCTTCTTTGGCTACCGTGAAGCTTACTGGGTAGTCTTGTCTTTGTCCCTCTGCCCCATGTTGGTCTGGTCCTGTTCCCAACTGGCTTGCCCAACTCCAGGAGCAGAGAGGCCTGGCGACTGACCCAAGCTGGGCCTTGGTTTCTGTCCATTAGAACTGTGCAAACTGTGGGGCAGGGCCCAGTGTTTGCTGATTACAAGAACAAACTGTCTGGGAAGGCGGGAAAGACACTCTCCTGCTTCCTGAGGGGGTTGGAGGGGGAAGCCCAGAGGAAGAGCTCCCAAATGGAATTCAGTCCTCCATTTTTCCTGCTTGTTGCAATGAGGTGGTGGTGGTGGTGGGTCTCCCTGAGGCTACTCCATGGTCTGAATGGATTTCCACAAGGAGGAGTTCAGCAATCTCTGTCCCTTAGGTCGGAGCTGTAATTGGCTTCTGGTCAGTATGTTTAACTGGTGTGTGACTCTAGAGGGCCGCATGGCTTGGGTTCCAACAGCACCTGGCTTTGAAATTTCATCAGTCTCTGTGGTCCTGAATGAAATTAAGGGTGATGGACTGGGTTCACAGAAATGAGTGTGAAGACTCCACAACTAAACTCAGGGTGGGTAGACAGGAAACCTGGCTTCTAGTCCAACTCGATGAGGGCTTATCCTTAACTTAATTCAAGGGCCGAATCACTGACCATTTTGCTTACTACCATATCCATAGGGTACTTTGAAGACATCAGAAAGGAAACAGTGGGGTCTCCGTTGCTTGCACCTCCAGATCTGGGAGCTTCTTTCCCCTGCCTAAGCAATGTAGTACCTTCCATTACTCTGGTCCTGGAGGGTCACCTGAGATCATCACTTTGGGACCTCCAAGGTTTCTTTTATCAAAAACTAAGAGGTCAGCTTTAGGCCAGAGATGAGTAAAAGGTTCTGCTTGAAAGGTTGCAGAAAGGATGCAACCTCACCTATCACCACCTGGACTTTTTTTTTTTTTTTTAACAGCTATTTCCTTTGAGAAGTGTTCAATGCTAGTAATCCCACAGGCTGTCTCACTTGGCTCTGTGCCACCACCCCTCAAGTTAAAAGGCATCTTTACTGGGAAGGACATGAGGACGAGAGGAAGGGACTGGGAGACAGGGTGAGGAGGCAGGCCGGCAGGCCTTTGCTGCTGGCCGGAGCTCTTTTCACATTGTGCTACTGTCTAACGTGTACCGAGCAGTGCAATGTTAAAAGGGCATCGGCCTTGTAGTACTCCCATTGCCGGCAGCCTCCTCAGCATCACTGTGCTTTCTCCCATCTGAGCACCAGTCCGCTACCCTGCTGGGAATTTGCATACGTGGAGCCTTTCCTTAGATGAGCAAGCTATTTGTCTAACTAAGGTGGCAGCACGCATAAGTTAACAGCTCTGTCCTAAGCCCAACAGGAAGGCACCCATGTTTTTTGTAGACCTGTCCAGAGAGTTGTACTGAGGGGGGGGTGAATGGCTTTGATGCCACCTGCTGATTATGTGAGGATATCATCTGAAATCTTCAGCTTTTAAGAATAAAACCCTGAAGAGCAGGTCCTTAAATGAAGGTCTGGGTTTTCAGATGAATCTTGGGGTGGACAGTTTGTGAAGTATGGGAGACATTTTGTGAGGCCCACAGAAGACCTCTGGGAATAAGGAGGTTCACAGGAAAGGAAAGGGGCTAACAGGAAAGGACAGATGCCTAGGCAAAGGACAGTGTCCCCCCTGTGCTCTGTTGGTCTTCCCCGCCTCGTCCATGTAGGAAGGAGGTCTCTTCACTCACAGTTTTTCAGCATGACCCTCTCCTGACCACTCACTTGATCGTGATGGTTCTTGAAGACAGACCTGCCTGTTCACCCAAGATTTGAGCAGTCCTAGTTATGGCCTTAAATGATTCATCTTTTAAGCAGTGCCAAGTCTCCTCATGCTCCACAACCATGCCATTGACTTTTCTGTCTTTCACAGGGCTCTCCTCGAGCAGAGTTTTAAGCTTGCTCTGATGCAGAAAGTGGAGCCAAAAGATGGAATTGGGTACCCACTAGAATTTAAGGAAAGAAGATACTGGTATCAATACAGTGGGTCAGACACTCCTTTGGCCCCAGAACTCAGGCTTCTGGATTGTTGGTCCTTCTGTGTCGGCTGATTCTCTGTCCTGCCTACAGCCTCCCCATTCTGATGTTAACAGCATTTGAGATACTACAGATAGCTCTAAGTCTATTACTTCAATCTAATAAAGTTATCTGAACCTCCCTGGGCATAGTGGTGCACACCTTTAATCCTGGTACTCAGGAAGGAGTTAAAACTGAGTTGAAGACTAGCATGATCTATAAAGGAAGTTTCAGGCAAGCCACAGCTATCTAGTGAGTCTATGGCAAAACCCCTCCCCCTCCAACTCTTCGTGTCTGGCACAAAACAGCCATCTAACAATGTCATTCTACTTTTCTTTCTTATGTTTTGGGATTAGGATGGGGGTCAGTCGAGTGCTTGCATAGCATGCAGAAAGTATTGAAATTGATCCCTAACAAAAGGGATCCACTGGCCAGATATGGTACAGCATGCCTGTAATCCTAGCAATTGGAAAGTTGAGGCAGGAGGTTTAGAAAGTTAAAGTCTTACAGCAAGTAAGAAGGCCAGCCTAGGCTACATAAGACTGTTTCAGAATAGCAGTAGTTTGTTCATGCTTTCCCAGTGTTCTTGAGAGGAAGTCAATCCTCTAAGGTTTACAGCTCTTCCTTTTTCTCCCACTTTAATCTCTCATGTCTCATCCTCTTGCCCTTCTATTCTAGCCTCAGAGAAACACAATTTCCTCAAATTAGCCCAGCTTGTGCCACATCAAACAGTTCCTTCTGAACTTCTACCCCTCGTCTTGCCCTTTTCCAGCCCATCTTTCCAACATGGTCTCTCTTCTGTGAAGCCATCCCTGACTCCTCAAATCTAGGAATCTAGTCTGGACTAGAGCCCTTATTATCTTCTGTTGGGGTTAATTAGCTTTCTGGCCACTAGATTCGGAGCTCCAGAAAGTCTGACCATGGCTGCCTTGCTTACCACACATCCCTGGAGTTCAGAACAACACCTGGCAAATAATCCTTACCTATAAATATTTGCAATGCCCATGAATGGATCTAGAAATAAGAATGTAACTTATAACATGATTTTTTTTATCATAAATACAGTCTTTTTCTATAGGAGCTGGGCCTCCCCAATTTCACATCAGTGCACCCCAGCAATGTTCCTTACATCACACTTTTGTGTTGATGCTATACTTTTGAACTTTGTCCCACTTTGGATCAACTGCCAGTAGCATTTCGGCCCATAGATTTCATTTTAGACTCAAGGGTATCCGTAAATTAAGACATTTTAGGACCACCCCCCCAAAAAAAAAATCATGGATACACAAGAAAACACTAAACTGGAATAAGTTTACACTAGCTGCTCATCTTGAATCCGGGTAAAAGTAGTCTCATTGGGGAGAGGTCCAGGGGACTGAAAATATTAGATCTTCCCTTTGGACAAGCTCATCAAAACCCATGCCTCTTGGTTCACCTGGATGCTTACCGCTTGTGAAACAGAGGATCTTGCCACAGACAACGCAACTGCTGCCTCCTACTGGCTTAAAAGGGAGTGGGGGTGGCCCTTGCTGGTGTGCATACAGGGGACAGTACAAGGTCCATACCTAAGGAAGGAAAGCCAGGACAGCCACCTCACAGTTGCTTTTCCCCTTTTTATTAAAAATAGACCCAAACACTTTATGTATCATACAAAAGTTTCATTCGCTGGTGGCAGTCACAGGAAAGACTGGTCCCTCAGCGCTGATGATCTGCCTCCAGAGGACTGGGTCCCAGGGAGCAGTGGCTGAGCCTTGGGGAATGCCCGTAAAGACTGCTCTCTGGCAACAGCCAGCTGGGGGTGGGGGCTGTTCTTGGAGCAGCTTTTCCCATCCCACCCAATGGCAAAAGATTAGATACTTGAAAGTGCCTCTTTAGTGCCAAGGTAAACGGTGGAGTGAAACGGGAACCCCTGTAGCAGATCCCCAGGGTCCAGGGTTTCTGTTTGCCCTTCTATTGGCTCCATCCTGGTCCTTTTTTTTTTTTTAACCAAGAATGGGGGTGGATAAACTACCCTCAGACTCTGGGGCCCTGATATCTGAGACCAGACTTTCACTCCATCTTTGCTCTTCTGTGGTCTAGCCCCACCACCAATGTTTGTCCTGTTCATTCAAAAAAAAAAAAAAAAAAAGGCTGATCAACATTTGGTAATTCACAGTCCTATCTGCCTGAGTTCATGCCCTGCCATCACTTGGTTTCCAGTGCCACAGTTCTCTCCTTCCCCTGTTCTGTATTTCCCTGACTGTTACCCACTCCTGAGCCTTAACCACCCCTGGGGTATCCCAGGCTCCTGTTCCAAAGAACCTGGTACTGCTGCTGTGAAGGGGGAAGGGAGGAGGTGGTCACTTGGAACCAGGTTTCCCCAGGGATGGGCAGTACTCATGCTGGTGCAGACTGCTGAGCAGGGCCAGGGGACTGATGTGAGGAGGGTGGGGCATGCGGAGGAGGGTCCCAGAGTGCTGAGCCCCTCAGTCCCAGCCGTTGTCTTTCACCATGTGTGACATCTCAATGATGTACTTCCCTTCTTTGTATTTCTGGCTGGTCTCAAAAGCTTGTTCCTGGGGATTGGGGGGCGGGGAGTGAGTAAAGTAATGACCATGGGAAAGAGTGTCCCCCCTCTACCACCACCTAGGCCAACCCAATTCCAAGCTCCCTCTGTGGACTAGGTGAAGGCCTGGTGTGTGGACACTGGGATTGAAGGGCCTCGGGGACTGTCTAGGAGTCTTCAAATACTTACATATTTCCACCCCAGTGTGGTCTTGCAGCTTTCACAGAAAATGTCAGCTACCGAGTGGAGTCCTGTGAGCAGGAGGCGCTGTTCAGCTGGGCCACAACCCACGTTGACCCTGTCTCAGGAAACAAGGACCCAGCACACAGTAGGGTTGTTCTGTCAGTCCAGCCCCCAACCAACCCAAAAGGATCTCTACCTGGGGAACCTGCCTTCAGAGGTCCACCCCATCAGAATTAGTTCTTGGACCTTCCTTTACTCTACAAAACTAAACTGCGTTTCTTTACCGCTTTATGGAGGGGATAGTAGGACCAGGAGTACCAGGTCCATTTCCCAAAGAGGAAAGCTGTTGAAACACAAGTACACACACATACACAAAGAAAGAGGTGGACTCACACGGAGTTAAACAGGTAGGCCCGGCCATGGCTTCCTTGGAAAGACTGTGGAAACAGGACAAACAGTGACTACTGGGTATCCCTTAGCCCCACTGCCTAAACCCCAGTTGGAGTGTCTGGAGACCTCAGGTGCTCTCATTGCCCTCTCTCTTGGCAAGCCTGGAGTAAAAGCCTGGGGGAGTGGCAGGCCCTCACTTCAGCGTTACCTTGGAAATAAGCTCATCGTGTTTGGCCAAGTGTGCTCGACAGTGGACGCAACTGTATGTGCGGTGGCAGCGGGGCAGGTAGCTGCGGAAAGTCTTGGTGGGTAGACATGCAGGGGCCGGGCCAGGGTCACAGCTGGGCATGACGGGTTGGAGGACGATGCCCTGGCGGGCTGGAGGGGCTGGTGCGGTGCAGCCCCCACAGAGACGGTCGCAGGTAAAGCAGCGGAGCAGATTGGCTAGAGCCGTGTTTCAGGACGGTAGAAGTGTGGGGGGGCTGCCCTGCCAGGGCCCCCCCCAGACGAGAACCAGATAGAAATGGAAATCACCTGGCAAGAGAAGAAGGTGCATCAAGGGAGGTAGGACCTCACAAGGAGCTGCTTTTGATTGACTAGAGAAGACGGGGCTCAGCTCATCTGCACCGTCCCCATCACCACCAGCCCTCAGCCTCTCGCTGCACTTTCTGTCCCCTAGAGTCCCATTCTGTTCTGGCAGCGGTTCCAGGCGTCTTGTGCCATGGCCAGGGATTTGGTACGTTTCTCTCTCCAGAGACAGTAGCAGCCTCTAGCATTTTCCATTGAGAGCAGCCTGCTGGCACAGACCTCGTCTTGGGAGCCACATCACCTGCAGAGGCCCACCTTGTGTCCAGTTCTGTGAGGAACTGCACCCTAACAAGAGATTGGAACCTTTTAAAAGCCAGGTCTTCCTGGAAGTTGAATTTGTTTGTTTGCTTGTTTAGCTTTTTTTTTTTTTTCTGTCTCAAAGCCTCCATTTGCAATACAATCGGACCATACTTTGGGAAGGAAGGAAAGAGGAACAGGCAGATGGGTACACGCACTCACCCTGTTCCGTACTCCCCTGAGGTTGAGTCCTGTGCCCTGGAACTCCACAAAACTTGGTAGCTTTTTCAGTATTGCAGACCTTACCCCTGATTGTTCCTGAATCCTGCATCCTGGGATGATACAGCTCCTGGGCTAGAGGGAGCACTTGCTGTCTTCCTAGCTCTGGCCCTCTGGTCCTCATTACTTACCGTTGCCTTAGCTCTAGGTTAAAGACAGGCACCCAGTCCTAGAAGAATTCTCTTTCCTCTAGCAAGTCTAACAGCGAGACCCATGGAAAGTAGGCAGTACATCAGAGGCCAGACTCCTGGGCTGTGTGCTATAGAGTGAGAGCAACCTTAACAGGGGACGACAGGGTAAGGGGACACCTTGTTTTTAAAAGCTGAGCTTTTAAAATATTTAAAAGGCAAAAAATATTTCTCCTCCCAGGAGCTAGAGCGAACACCAGTGACAGGACAGCAGCAAATGAAATAATTGCAGGGATCTGATTAAGAACCCTGAGACGCTGGGATCTGCTCACACTCACTGGCTGAGGGTACTGCGGGCAGAAGATAAGGGAGGAGGTGTCTTCTGTTGACTCCGATAAGCAGGTGATGTGCCTCCACCTCTCTAGTGGAGTATCCTGCAGCTGAAGGTAGGGTAGCCTGTGTCTCCTTCAGAGATGCCCGCTAAGTGCTCTCATGATGCTAGACCACCAAGCAGAGGAGGCAGTACAGTTTCAGTTGCCAAGATAAACAGGCTGTTCTCCTGTCCTCCGTGGTGGCCATAAGCACCCGATTCTTCTATTGTCTCCAAGGGCTGTCGTGCAATCTCCTCAAATCCCCCTGAAGATGAGTGAGACCATCTTAAGTTTCTGGTCCTCTACTGTTGTCCGAGTCCCAGGAAGACACCTTGGGCTGAATTCAGGGTGACATTGTATTCTGGCCCTCCTTGCTACAGTTCAGCATCACTTCCTTGATCTTCCTTCAAGTTTGCCTTCAGTTCC